TTTCTTTCTTTCTTTCTTTCTTTCTTTCTTTCTTTCTTTCTTTCTTTCTTTCTTTCTTTTTCAAGACAGGGTTTCTCTGTGTAACAGCCCTAGCTGTCCTGGAACTAGCTCCTGTAGGCCAGACTGGCCTTGAACTATAGAGATCCACCTACCTCTGCTAGGATTAAAGGCGTGCACCACCACCGCCCAGTTTGCCTGCTTTTCTTAACTTAAATTATCCCAACTACCTTTGCCTGTGGGCTTTTTCCTTTCCTTACTTGTGTATGTCCTACTTTCACTCTTACTCCATGACTGGCTGTGTGGCTGTGTGACTTGCCCCCTGCATCCTCCTCTCCTTGTTCTTGTTCCTTCTCTTCTTTCAGATTTCTCCTGTTTATACTCTCTGCCTGCCAGCCCTGCCTGTTCTTTCTCCTGCCTTGCTACTGGTCATTCAGCTCTTTATTAGACCATCAGGTGTTTTAGACAGGCAAAGAATCACAGCTTCACAGAGTTAAAACAAATGCAGCATAAACAAAAGTAACACATCTTAAAATAATATTCTATAACATTTCCCCCTTTTCTCTAAATAAAAAGGAAGGTTTTAACTTTAATATAGTAAAACTATACACAACAAAACAGTTATCAAATAAGAATTACATTTACAATATTCTGTCCATCTGTAGTTAGCATATTCAGAGAAGATAATGCATTATTTATCCTATCTTAGTGAATCCAAACTTTTACACTGGATTTATTTTCTATCATAATTAAGAAAAACTGCAACTATAACTATCTGGTGTAACTCCAAAGACCCCATAAGGAATTAATATTACCTAAGTTAACAGGAAGTGCACTACAAGCAACTTCCAAGACTCTAGAAATGACAGAGACATCAGGCTGCCTGGACAGTCAGTCACCCAAAGTTTCTCTGCAATGTTGGGGCATCCATCTTTATCCTACAGGCCTAGAGTATCTGGCAGACTTTTCAGTGGAGCAGGAAAGTTCTGTTCTGCCTTGTTTTAGCAAAGTTCAGCAGTCACTTTCCTGTGAGTACTGCATGTCAAATCTGCACAGCACATAGTTAAGAAGTCAAGGCAAAAACAGCTTCTTGCCAAAATGGTTGTTAGCCTTATCACACTGAATACAAACTCTGTAAGGAATATCTTTGATGTCCATCATCTCTGAAGTAAATTGGTGCTGCCAGGAACAGAAAGATCTCAACAGATAGGTGATCTTCAAACACTTCATAGATCTACAGAATATGATATTTTATTGTTTAATAATAAGGCTTTTCATGACAGTAAGATACATTTGCTCTTGACAGCACCAATTTACTTTAAAAAGAGATGATGGATATTGAAGAACATCCTTACGGAGTTTGTTTTCTTTGTGGAAAAAGCTAGCCACTGGGTAAAGGAACTGTCCTTGCCTCAACTGCTTACAGAATGCTGTCCAAATTGGACAAGCAGAACACAAAGGAAAGTCTCTGCTGAGATTTGCCAAGACAAGGTAGAACAGCCCTTTAAAATTTCTGCTTTGGGGCTGGAGAGATGGCTGGGAGGTTAAGAGCATTGACTGCTCTTCCAGAGGTCCTGAGTTCAATTCCCAACAACCATATGGTGGCTCACAACCATCTATAATAAGATCTGTTGCCCTCTTCTGACTTGCAGGCAAAAATGCAGACAGAACACTGTATACATAATAGATAGATAGATAGATAGATAGATAGATAGATAGATAAACAAATAAAATTCCTGCTTCACAAAACAGTCTGTCAGATATTCTAGGCCTGTAGAGCAAAGATGGATGCCCCAGTACTACAGAAGAACCTTAGGGTGACTGTCCAGGCAGCTAGATGTCTCTCTAAAGTATATAGTTTTAGAAGTTGCCTACTCTGCTCTTCTGTTTACTCAAGTAATAGTTTATCCTTCTTGGGTCTCTGATGGGGATTGAGGACTAGATAGCTATAGTTTTACAGTTTTCCCTGTCTGATGTGGGATTCCCCTATGTGTACTGTGAATACGTTTTATTACCATTGGTTAATAAAGAACCTGCTTTGTCCTATGGCAGGGCAGAATGGAGCTAGGTGGGAAAATGGAACCAAATGCAGGGAGAAAGAAGGCAGAATCAGGCAGATGCCATGTAGCTGCCAAAGAAAAAAGATGCCAGAACCTTACCGGTAGGCCATAGCTTCATGGTAATACATAGATTAATAGAAATGTGTTAACCTGAGCTAACAGTCCAAGCAGTGTTGTAATTTGTTGTGATCTGGCTGCCCTCAGTGGTAGACTGCACTCCCCCTGACCTACAGTGGAACTTCCTTGTACTCTGTAATTGACAAGGATGTTTATGTTCTTTCTGGCTGGTGGTTTTCAGCAGAAGTGTTCCCAGTACGCAATGCCCTGATCTTGACCTCTGACTGCTCAGCATGTTTTGGACCATCTGCTTAAAGGTATAAAAGGCTTTAGCTCAGGGCAAAATAAAGGTTTCTGTTCTTCCACCTGAAAAGAAGCCTCCGTGTCTCAATCCCAGCACACAGACACACACACACACACACAGACACCCCGCCACCGGCCAGTCTCAGCATCCAGGTTGCACTGGCGTGGCAGTAATTAATATAGTTTCTGTAGGATTACTGGGTCTGGGCAGCTGGCGAAAGAAAGAACAGTCTTTCTTTACACTTGTTACCAAACTCAAAGAAGAAGCTTACATAGGCCATATAAAGTTTATAAGGCTGAGAAATATAAAAACTTAAGTTGTTTATCTAAAAAAGATGTTTTAAGGTCTAAAAATAATTTTAGGATACTAATACAAGTTATGACAAAAAATGGTTTAAATATAAAACTTTGGACTAAGATGAATAGATAGTGAAATATTTTCTCTAAATTTGCCAAATTCAAATGTACTGGGCACTATAAATGTAATTCCTACCTGATAATTGTTCTTACTGTATATAGTTTTACTGTGTTAGAATTAAAACTTTTCTTTTTTATTCAGCCAAAAATGCAGAAATGTGTGGACTACACCTTTACCTGTGTGAAGATGTGTCACTGTGATTGGTTTAATAAAAAGGTAAATGGCCAATAGCCAGGGAGGAGGTATAGCAGGAACTTCTGGGCAGAGAAAGCGCTGGGAAGAAGGAAGGCAGAGTCACCAGCCAGATGAAGAGGTGAGCAAGACGCGCAGGAGAAGAGGTAAAGGTCATGAGTCGTGCAGTAGCACATAAATTAATAGAAATTAATTGATGCAAGTTATAAGAGCTGTGGGGCCGGGCGGTGGTGGTGCACACCTTCAATCCCAGCACTTGGGAAGCAGAGACAGGTGAATCTCTGTGGGTTTGACACCAGCCTAGTCTACAAAGAAAGTTCCAGGATAGCCCGGACAGTTTCACAGACAAACCCTGTCTTGAAGAACCAAAAACAAACAAACAAAATGAAAACAAAACAAAACAAAACAAAAGAGCTGGTGGGACAAGGTAATCCTATAGTCTGAGCTTTTATAATTAATAAGTCTCTGTGTTATTTTTTGTGAGTTGTTGGCCAAAATAAAATCTATCTACACCACAGGAAGGTGTAGCCCCTCTTAGCCTTACCTCTTCTTTTGACACATTCACTCAGTGAATCCTTGAATCCCCACACTCAGGAAGCAGAGACAAGTAGATCTCTGTGAGTTCCAGGCCAGCCAGAGCTAGAAAGGGAGAGCCTGTCTCACAAAACAAAGAACAAACACACAAAAAGATATCTTTGAGCCTGAAAAGACGGTTTGGGAGCACTTGATACCATTCCAGAGGACCTCAGTTAGATTCCCATCATCCACATGGAAGCTCACCATCATCTGTAACTCTAGTTCTAGGTGACCTGACACCCTCTTCAGACCTCTTCTGACACCAGGCACACACATGATGCACATACAAACACTTGGGCAAAATCCTCATACACATACAAAAATAAATCTAAGAAACAAAACCAAAACACAGATTCAAAAATCTCTTTTTTTCTCTCTCTCCCTTCCCCCTTTTCTGTGTTCTAAGGATAAACCCAGCAACCTCACACAAGCTAAGCAAGTTTTCTATTACCAAACTATATTATGGGCCCTGATGTGTGTAGCTACAAATATTCTCCATTCCGCTGGTCCCCCTGGACTGGTTTCTCTCCACCCACTGGGTCCCACTCACTAGTTCCTACAGTCGCTTATGAATTAATTAATCTGAGGCTTAATATTAATTGCATACTCTTTGGCCTACTAGCTCAGACTTCTTATTAACTAACACTTGTATCTTAAAAGAACCCATTTCTATTATTTTATATTTTACCACGAGGCTCATGGTTTGTTACCTCTTGCTTCTTGGACAGCTACATAGCATCTCTGACTGACTCCACCTTCTTCCCTCCTCTGTCCCTGCCTCGTTTTCCTGCCTTGCTAGATTCTGCTGGGCCATAGGCTTCTTTACTAACCAATGGGAATAAAACATATTCATAGCATACAGGGGAATCCCACATCAAATGTATAAATGCCCTCTTAAGTTTTTATACATGTATGTGTTGGGGTGGTGCTTATGTCACAGAACGTGTGAAGGTTTATAAGACACCTTCTGGGAGTGGGGTCTCCCTTTTAACTATGTGTATCCCAGAGGTCTAGCTAATATCATCAGGCTTCTGCCTGATGAGTCATTTTGTAGGCCCCAGTATAAATTCTTAATTGCTCTTTTTTTTTAAAAAAAGATACAATTTATTATTATTATTTTATGTAGAAAGAGTGGCGGGATGCATTCCTGCCCAGATCCCAGCTAGCTTACCCCCAAAATAATTACACGCAAACTGTATTCATTTAAACACTGCCTGGCCCATTATCTGTAGCCTCTTACTGGCTAATTCTCACATCTTAATTAACTCATATCTAATAATCTGTATGGCACCACAAGGTCGTGGCTTACCAGGAAAGATTCAGCATGTCTGACCTGGTGGCTGGTTCCATGGCGTCTGCCTGACTCTGCTTCTTTCTCCCAGCATTCTGTTCTGTCTACTCTGTCTATCTAATCTACTGTCAAAAGCCAAGGCAGTTTCTTTATTAACCAATGAAAGTAACACATAGACAGATGACACTCCTACATCAATTTTATGTGTATATTTTACCTGCATTTAAGTTTACTGCATCTATGCAGTATCGTCCAGAAGAGGGCATCAAATCCCCTGAAACTGTAGTTAAGGACAGTGTGAGCTGTCATCTGGGTTCTGGGACTTGATCCAGGCCCTCTGGAAGAGCAGCTGGCGGTCTTAACTGCTGAGCTATTTCTCCAGCCCTTACTGCTCCACTTTTACTTTAGCCACGGGTCGTTTGGATGAAATTTGAGTTACAGATATTGTGAGCCACCAGGCTGAGTGCTGAGAATCCAACTTGGGTCCCCTGGAAGAGCTCTTACCTGCTGAGCACTTTAGCATTTTATTCAACATGTTACTTAATATGTTCTGAACCAAATATACATCACCATAAAACAAAGTTAAAAAACTAGATAAAAGCACAAATTACCTTTCAATTCTCCATGTCCCATTCTACCCAGGCGACCAATTATAACTCTCCATGGTAAAGAACTCATTTGAGCATCTGTAACACCAGTCCCGGGGAATCCCACTTCCGGCCTCCATGGACACTAGGTACAAATGACATATGTGATCCCTAGATATACATGCAGACAACACTCATACAGAGAAAATAAATAAATATAAATTAAAAATAACCCAAACTGATCTTGAATTCTTTTTTTAATGATGTATTTATTGTATTTTATGAGTTTTGCCTGAATGTATGTATAATTATCATGTGTGCCTCGTCCTTGCAGAAGCCAGAAGAGATCAACGGATTCCCTGGGATGGGAGTACAGAGGGTGGCTAGCCACTATTTATGTTATGGGAACCAAACATGAATTCTCTGCTAGATCAGTAAGTGCTCTTAACTGCTGAGCCAACTCTGCAGCCCCAACCTTGAACACTTTGTTTGTTTTGATTTGTTTTTTTGAGACAGGGTTACCCTGTGTGGCCCTGGTTGTCCTAAAACTCGATTTCTAGACCATGCTGGCCTCAAACTCACAGATATTTCTCTGTCCCCGCCTCCCCAGTGCTGGGATTAAAGGCATGCGCTACCACCACTCGGCTGTCTTGCACTCTTGATCCTCCTGACTCAATTTATTGAGTGCTAGCATTATAGGTTTAACAGCTTAACTTCATTTTGTAAAACTGAAACCCTATACCCATTAAACAATCATCCCCTCCCCATTGCTAACTGTCCCAGGTAACTACCGTCCTATCATCTGGCCCTATGATTTTAACTACTCTAAGAAGTATGTGTGTCTGTTTCTGTATAATTTTTCTATGCCATGTATTTAAAGGTTTTTACATTTTATTTTATTTGTGATTATATGTATATGTGTGTGGTTGGGGAGTATATGCAAAAGTGAATGCAGCTGCTATCTGGAGTTCAGTAGAACTGGCTGTCTCCAACTCATAGAGGTCTACCTGCCCCTGCTTTCCAAGTGCTAAGACTAAAAGTATGCACCAAACATGCTTTCATAGATACTTGACATTATTATATATATTTGAAATTACATATGGTATAATAGTCAGGACATGGCTGGTGAGGCAGGGCAGGCCTTTAATCCTAACATTTGGGAGGCAGAGGCAGGCAGATCTCTGTGAGTTCAAGGCCAGCCTGGTCTACTCAGAGCTCCAGGACAACCAGGACTACATAGAGACTCTGTCTCAAACACCAAAGAAAGGAAGAAAAAGTCAGTAAACAAGATACCATTATACATGTTGGGTATAAATAGCCTTGTTTTCTTGTTGAGATAGGATCTATGTAACCAGGCTGGTCTCTAATCCGCTACTTGAGCTCCTGATCATCCTCTCGTCACCTCCCAGATACTGGGATTATAGGTGGTGCCACCAGACTCTTACAGTTTTTCTGCAAATGGATATAAGCATAAACATACTGTCTGGGTTTACTTATTGTCAAGCAAGGTCCATTTATGTGACAACTTATGTGGTCTTCCAGAATGTTTATTTTCATTCAATATAACATTTTCGAATTTGCTCATTTTTTATGAAGCTGGAGTTCATTTGTTTTTTTCTTTTGGTTTTTCGAGACAGGGTTTCTCTGCATAGCTTTAGAGCTTGTCCTAGAACTGACTCTGAAGACCAGGCTAGCCTCAAACTCACAGAGATCCACCTGTCTCTGACTCCTCAGTGCTGGGATTATAAGCATGCACCACCACCACCCAGCTAAAATAAGCTATTCTTAATGTTCTGGAGCATCTAGTACTTATTTGTGTTGATTCTGATTGGTCCCCCGTAGGGTACAGTCTGTGGTTTTTCCTGGTTATTGTAAGGATGAGGCCTAGTCCCAGTATTGTTAGTCTGTAGCCTGTCATAGCTGCCCTAATGTTAAGTTAGGCCTCTTCAAGGAAGATCATGTATCCCATGCTGGCCTCAACAGGTATATAGTTGAGTGTGACCTTGAGTTATTTTTAAAATTTATTCCATCCTGGGGGAATCTCTGTGAGTTTGAGGCCAACGTGGTCTACAAGAGTTAGTGCCAGGAAAGGCTCCAAAGATACAGAGAAACCCTGTCTCGAAAAACAAAACAAAACAAAAAAGATTCATTACATCAATCCATCCATTATGTGTGTGTTTGCTTGTGCATGTGTGTGACAGAGAGAGAGAGAGGGAGAGAGGGAGAGAGAGAGAGAGAGAGAGAGAGAGAGAGAGAGAGAGAAACCACAGGTGTGTGCATACCACTGTGCATGTGTGAAAGACATAGGACGACTTTTTGAGGGAGCCGGTTCTCTCCTCCCACTTTGTTTTGAGACGGGGTTTCTCTGTGAAACAACTCTGGCTGTCTTAGAACTTGCTTTGTAGACCAGGCTAGCCTTGAACTCACAGAGATCCTCCAGTCTGTGCCTGGTCTCCCCCGCCCCGCCCCCCCTGAGCCCCCCCCCCACAAGTACTGGAATTAAGGGTGTGTGCCACCACCATTCCTAGCCATCTTAGTTTTTGAAGACAAGGTCTCTCACTGAATCTGGAAGTCACTGATTGGGCTAGACTAGTTGGCCAGCAAGCCCCAGGCACTATGTTGGTCTGCCCTAGCTTCCGGCAGGATGTATGCAGATTGTACTCTGGACAACCCAGGGTCCTAATCTGTACACAGGTGCAAAGGTCCCTTTAAGAGAAAAGCCCCGCCCACTCCCCCATCCCCCCCCCCTTTCTTTCT